CTTCCTCCTCCTCCTCTTCCTCCTCCTCCCCCTCCTCCTCCCCCCCCATTGGCCCAGAGGCCCCGCACTGGAGAAGAAGGCCAGATGGAGTCGAGCCTCCGGACGGGCACGCTTTCTCTCTCCACATACGCGGTCGCACGGCCGCGTTCCGCGCGGGGCGACCGCGAGCGAAGCGCTTCGTTATTGCGCGGTCGCGGCCCCGGCGCCGGGCTCGCGAGGCTGCGTATGCGGATTCGTTTTTCGCCCACGAGTGGCTGATACCCCAGCGTCCTGTGGACCCGCAGGGTTGGGGTTCGCCTGTGGTCGCAGAGCCTTTGCAAAAATCACGACGCTGGGCCGTGGGCCACTCCTCTGCCCCCCCTGGGCACCTTCGTGAAGGGGCCCTCCTGGAGTGTGCGGAGACTGTCCGGGATGAAGAGAGCCAGTATGCAGGGGACGGGGTCGTTCGAGACTTCTGCAGGGGATCCGAGCTGTGAAAAAGAGATGACGTCGGGGGCCCGGTATTGTGACGATATTGCAGGCCATTCCGGTGGCGACGCCCGCATCTCTCTACCTGGAATCTCACTGTGGGCTGCCCTCAAGGCGCACGCGTCTCTGGGGGGCATCCCGATTCCTAGTGCGGGCTCTGTCCCCCACGGGGGTGGGCACATGCAGATGGGGTCTCAGGCACACGCATCCCTTCCACAGGGTTGGATGGAGGGTTTTTTTCCGAGGGGGTGTCCTGGGTTCAGGAGAAACGTTCGGGCTTGGATTGGCGATCTTGGATCTGCGCCCCCCCGCGGCTCCCTAAAGTCAGGGACAACGTTTGGGGGGTAGGCTCAGGGGGAGGGCGCATCGACCCCCAATCATCCACACACCGCCGACAAGGGCTTGACAGCCCACCCCGTCCAGGAACGTGCGGTTTTGCCATCGGGGGCCTGTCGCCAATGCATCGGCGATGTATCGCCGATTCCAGGTCGACGTTCCCCCTCCCCTTGTCTGTGCTGTTCCCCTTCTGTCGTTCCCCCTCGGGGCTTCTTACGCCCATGATTGAGCCTTCGCTGCCGTGAGCAACAACAGACAATGAAACTCCAGGATCCTCACATTTTTCTCTTCCTTTTCATCGTGGGTTCACCTGTGGAATCCAGAGGGTTCGGGGGATATAGGTGACGTTGCGTCGTTGCCGCTCACGGTGCTGTGGCAACTTCCGCCGCCCGCGAATGCGCGGTTACGGGGCGTGCCGACAACGATGTCGCAAATTGTGCCCGCGATGTTGTTGCTTCTAGCGCTCGCGTGAACACAGCCGGAGCTCAGTCGCGTATGCGCCGTTTTGAAGCTGGCAGGTTGGGAGCTTCAAGAGGATCCCGCATCGTATCTTAGTGTCTATCTCCCATGGTTAACCTCTAGTCAGGGTTTCCACGCTCTTCACTCTTCTTTCACGCTTGTTGTCGAGCGTGGGGGGCCCTGGTCGGTGGTTTGCCGATTCTGGTCGTTATGCCAGCTAGAGGTCTCTGCTGGATGCCTCAGGCTGCACCAGTTCACGGTCGCCCACGGGAACCGCGGCGCATATGGCTCGATCTTGCGAGCGAGTTTCATCATCCCGCCTCTCTGCAAAACCACACCGCCTGTGAGGCGGCGGACCAATGCCATTTCTGCTGTTTCCCTTTGAGTGGGATATGCAGAAGCTGAGGCGGTCCCCAGCGCCAATCAACCCTACTCAACATGTACGTTCGAAGAAGCAAGCGGCCGTATAGTACTGCCCCCATCACCCCATCCACTCATGCGCGCCGCCCGATGTGGGCACTGATCTGCTCGAAGTAGCTGTTCCCAGCTAAGTTCGAACCGTGGGGGTCCATGCGAGCCAGTCTACGTATCTTTCTCATCGCCTGCGTTACATATACAACCTTCATCGTCATGTGAGTCGATGCAACTGTCGCGACGACATACGCGATAATGACAGTTCGTCGTCGTCGGTAACCCCAACGCCTGTGCCAGTCGAGCCACTGGGAAAGTGCAGAACACTCGGTAGTGGCGGCGGCAGATGATTATCATCGGAGTCGCCGAACGGTGCTGTGGTGAGGACACATTCGACGTGTCCGAGGCGGTGCCCCTAGACAACCAACATTCAATGTAATATCTCCGAGCATTGGCATATAAATTTTGTTCCCAGAGCAGCTCAGCTGTCTAGACCGAGTTTTAGTATCAGTTCACTTCCAGGAACCGATTTCATGTTGACACCCAAAAATGTCAATTTGACGTTCTTCTAGAAATACTCCGAGAAGTTCCTCACTGGTCAAAATGACTCGAATAATACAAAAAGCTTTACGGACCTAGCTCGAGTAGCAGACCGAGTTCAGACCTCTGGATGCAACAGACGAACGCGCCTGATCAAAAATTTGGCTTCTCAAAATAAATGGTCAAATATCTTTCAAATCTTAGCAAAACGAACCAAAAGTTACCACATGGTCCGTTCTGGTCGGGTCGGCCAACTAGCTCCACCCAGCGCCGGAATTCCTCTAGC